GGAGCAACAGACAATAAGCATTGCGAAGGTACTGCTGCTTTAAAAAATTGCCAGTTTCTGTACTGCTCACAGTTACTAGTGTGGACTTTAACTCAGCATTATTACTTATTTGTCTTCCAGGCTGGATTAGTTACAACACTCAGTACAAAGACTACTGTCTTTGGTGCCACGAATCCGAAAGGGCAATATGACCCTGATGAAAGTAGTGCTTTTACACATCAAGCAATTATATAGCTTAGTTAATTCAGTAAAACGTTGTCAGAAGTCAGCACTGTGTTACAGGCATATTTACTTCTGGGTTCCACTCTCACCCATAACATGATGGTGTTATTGGGCTATTGGCTAGTTAATTTCTTAAGATTCACTCGGAGGACTTCCATAACATGTACTTTGGGGCAAACCATTTTCAATTTGCTTAACAATATTAATTTAGCAAGGCATCAAAAAACAAATGCACGCTTCTAAGATTTTATGGTTGTCCCTTGCTAAAGTTGTTAGATATTTTTTCTTTGGATACAAATTTTGTTTTTTTTAAATCCTACGGTTTTGTAAAATACTTCTATTTTGAGAAAGTAAAAGGTGTGCAGAGCGAATCCTATAGTTTTAAAAAACCATAAAATTGCTAAAACCATCTTTTCGGAGTTTCTGCACTCAGGACGTCCCCCCCTCCCCCCGCGCACACACACACACACTTTTATTTTCAACATGGTCTTGCACTTCTGCACGTCTTTGGGTATCTGAAACCACAGTTTCTTTGTACCCTGTTTTTTCAGAACATCCAAAAATACCTTGTTCCCACTCTGATTATATCTTTGCTTTTTGCCTTTCAGGTTTGTCTGTGAATACAACACTTTCAGGACCACTGTTGAGTAGATTTGATACAGTTCTTGTTCTTCTGGATACACAAAATACTGATTGGGATGAAATAGTTTCATCTCATATATTGAAGGAGGTATGTTTTGTTTCTATTTAAGGGCTCACTACTGACTGCATCTTGAATACACTTAATCCATAGGCATGAAAATAATCTATAAATTGTCAGTCATTGAACAAAAATTCTATTAAGAAATGTTTTTTTTTAAATGTGCAGAATTTAGATGAAAAGAAAGATAAGACAAATGCTTCTGGTAAAGAGTGGACGCTCCCCAAGTTGAGAAGGTGGAGACCTTTGATGTGTTGCTTACCTCCCATGAAATAATAAGGCTGGTGCACAACAATACAAATAAATTTATTTTAACATCCTGACCTCATTTATCAGCTTCCAAAACTGCTGTTTTATCAGATCGCTAATGAGCAGCAGAATGTTTAAAGTGCATTTAGCTAAATCTGCTGTTCTGTCCTGAAATTTTTCGGTCTTTCGTTGCCAATACTAATAATACTACTGACAGTTAAGCCTAGTTCTATGTATGTATCTTGACTGTCTTTACTATTTCCTGTCATCTATTTTCAGGCTTCTAAGCCTTGTATTAAGAATATGCCCAGCATCCACTTTAGTGGTTAGAATATGCTATGGAGTAGGTAGACCACTTTGCTATATAAGCAGTGGCTAGGACCTTCTTGTATTCCAAGTATTGCTACCTTCAGATTCAATCAAAGCGGCCTATGGCCAAGCTGCCCTCTGGGCTTACCCAAATCTGAGATCCATTTGTGTGTATGTGGGCAACAACTATAATACCCAAGTATTTCAAATTTAAGGTACATCAATTATGTAAGGAGGCAGTTTAAACCAGTGCTGACAAAGGAGGCAGAAAGAGCTATCTCGAGCTATTATCAGCTACAGAGAAAATCAGGAACACATAATGCAGGTTAGCCTTAGCCAAGCACATATTCTTGCCTTGACATTTTGCAGCCTCTAAAAAATAAGCTTCTAAATTGCAGCAAGGACAACGGTGCGCATGCTTGAAAGTTTGATAAGGCTAGCACAAGGTCTGTTCTGATCTCCTATGGTTCTTTTCCTCCTTTCACAATTGCTATTCTTGATCCTTTCATTCCTTTGTTCTTACCGTTTATTTTGTCTGCTGCAGCACATGCAAGACTAATGTTCAGAAATGAGGTTAGACAACTTGATGCCATTGCTGCCATATTGTGCATGGAATCCTCCATGACAACATCTCCAATAGTGGACATTGTTGGAAATGCTCTGCACTCAAATTTTACAGATGACCCTGATGAAGAATGTATCCTAACATGTGATTTTGTAGCCTACTTATTCAAGAATATCAAGGACTTGAGTCATTTCTTCAGTAAAAACTAAAAACTGAATTCGCTTCGATGTTTTTCCTTTTATTTTGCCGTGTCCATGAAAATACTTATCTATTTCTTTGGCATGCCCGCAGAAGCAATGATAACAGGATGTACATTAGATGTCTTCGCTCAGGAAATGTTAATTTTATGCGGTAAAACGTATTTCTTGTCGCTAACTGCCTCGGTACCATCTGAGATGTATCCATCAGGAAATGCATTGTACAGCTGGATTCTGTAAACCTGCAAGCAGCTTTCCTGTGTGTTTGTTTTTCTTGACATGCCATAGATAAAACACAGGAGAAGAAGATTCTCAAGAAACTTGGACTAACTCAAGGTTCCCCATAATTCAATACAAACATCAGTTGCTGCATCCTGTAGATTTATTAACATATGGACTTACATGCTATTCTGCACAATGAATCAGTGATACATGAAGGTAAACTTGATACTTATGTGGCAGTTGGGCAATCCTTTCAAAATTGCTGGCATAATTAGATCGACAATCAGCATTCCTCAAATGAACCACTAAATCAAGCACTGCAGATGCATAGTTGCATAAGAACGATGACAGTAATGGAATGATGATTACAATGTTAATTTCTGTTCTCGTAGCTTGTGGTTCATCTAAAAGACTTGGTTAGAAAAACTGCTTCTGAAATTCTAGAAAGCAAAATACTAATTCATGATACTTGCCTAGTTGATGCTTCATCATTACTGTGACAGATTAATTTATTTGCTATTGAGTTATTGTCTGATCGACTTCATGTGCAGTACTGCAAACTTCTGCGTGGTCACCACCTCATATCTCATCCTGGCTACCCCTACCCATGCTCAGTTTTTTGATGAGTTCTCTTCGTCATCCACTGACTTCGATTGATGCATGTTTTTCTGTCACTCAGTCACTTATTCTGCTAACTGAAAGATCAGTGTGGTAGGATTCTTCCCACGTGGTGTGTATAGGTGTCCAACTTCTAGAAAAGTTCATCCATGGTTAACTAGTGTCTTGATGATGTCCATCTTGGCCTTTGTGAGTGGACCTTGGCTGACTTGTGTAAAGATTTAAATTGTTTAGTAGACTATTGTTCGGGGATAAAAGTCTCTTATTTCCTCTTTTTTTTATGTTTAGCCCATCTCAATGCCATTTGATATAGATCAGTTTTGGTGTTTGTTCCTCAATATTCTCTACGAGAGGATGTGGATTAGAGGCACCGACAGTTTCTTGGTACTTAGAGCAATGAAATTATCAATAGCACCTGCACCCTTGAGTCCAACTAGGTTAATTGGCGAGCTAGGAACAGTTTCAGCATCTTTGTGATGAACTAGGTCAACCATCTAGGGCAAGATGGAACAGTTTCAACATCTTTGTGATGGACTAGGTCAACCATCTGCCTCGTCGACATCCTCTTGCCAGTCCATTACCATGGATTCAAATCCCTCTTGACACATGGATGTCAAAGAGGGGTGAGGATTTGGTGTTGACATTCCTCCGAGTGCCCTCAAGTAGTGATGGCAAGTTATTTTTTGCATTTTCCTCGTACTCCCATTGTAATACTTCAACCACTAATGTTTCCTTACCGACCTGATCGACAAGGTTGAGGTCCTGTTACGGTGTTACCTGTACTTCATCAGTGTGGGGGTCGTGTAGAGAATGAAGTGGAGCTAGGTTGCCGCAAAAATGATAGAACAACATTCGTCTCAGTCTGATTCTGAGCTCCACCCATAGTCCGCTGCTATGTCCAGCATCTCTAGGATCTTGTTTTACCTCGTGTTGCCAGTGTTATGGCTACACCTGGAAAAGTTCTTAGCGGTGTGTTGATTGGATCACAATATTTTGTCCTGATTTCACTATAGCGATCATACAATCTTGCATCAGAGTGTTGTCGATGTCATTCTCGTTGCATGTACCTTGTAGATTTCGACGAGAGGAGTTGCCTTTTTTTTTTGCGAATTACACTGCACAACGCACGCACACTCACCCCCTATGAATGCATGCACGCAAATCATATCTCTATGAGCATATTGAAGACTGATCGAGCCGGTAAATTCTCGAAATTGACGAAGTCATCATAGATGTCTCGCTATTGACGGGGTCTCCTACCACTAAAAGCACAACGACGTCAAATCCTGAAAAAATTTGTTCCCAGAGGAGTCGAACCCAGGATCCGAGGTGCTACTGAGGCTCTTGTAATCACTAGGACATACCCTTTTGCGTGAACAGGCCTCTACTAGCTGAGCTGGCTAGATGGTCCTAGTAACACTCCTCTTGTTCGGATTAGACTCCCTTGAGAACGAATTTCAGTCTAGAGTTAAAAAAAATCTCCTGCTCTATCTGAAGCAGGAGCAACGCCTCCTTCCAAAGTGCGAAATAATCACTTTTTTTTAAGCCGTGAGAGCTTCTCGAACCGGAGCAGGAGCAATGCCTCCATCCAAAGTGTGGAATGATCACCATCTATCATGGCGGAGGTTACAGCATATCAAGCAAATGAACTAACGCTCCAATATACACAAACATGATCAAAAAGAAATCATGAAAGGAACGTGATAACAATAGCAAAACTGACAACATAACATACATCCAAAGTATCCAACTACATACAGCCACCACCAGCACAGCAAAAGCACCAATAAAAGTTTCCTGAGTCAAAAGAAATCTCTGGTAACTAGTCAAGTCCCTCAACCAATACACGAATCCATGTCGTGCAGCCTAACAACAAACAGCACTGCCTCCACCCTGGGCCCTAGCCGGTCCAGCGGGCCTAGAACGCGCCGAGGTGCACGGCCACGAGCCCAGCAAGGCCCAAGCCGGCCCACGCCGCGGCGCTGAGCCCGGATGCGCCGGAGGTGGACTTCTTGTCCGGCGGCGAGAGGGCCGTCGTGACCGGGCTCTTGGGCGTGACGCTGCCGGAGCTCGAGGGGGTCTTCGTCGACGGCGTGGTGTCGGGGGCGTCTGGGGTGGTGTCCGCGGACGCGGCCGGGGCCGGCGCCAGCGCCGGGGAGGCCACGGCCTTGGCCACGTCCACGACGAGCTTCATGCCGCTGCTGCAGTGGCCCGCGACGCCGCAGATGAAGTAGTGCTTGCCGGCGGTCTTGAGCGTCACGGTCGTGCTGCCGGCGCTGTCGCTGCTGAGCGCCTTTGCTGGAGGAGCAGGCGGCGTAGTCCGCCGCGCTCACCTCGTCCACCGTGTGCGCCCCGCTGGCGTACTTGAACTCTGAAAAGAAACAAAAGTTGCAATGAGCAGGGGCACCACTTTGATAGAGTTTTGCTGTCGTGGCCGTACATTTGGGACAAAAGCGAGAAGTTCAGGTTGTATATATATGGCGCTAACCGAGAGTGTCGCCGATTTTGAACTTCTTGCCGCTGGCCCAGGTGGCGTAATCGCCGGTGGTCGTCCAGCCGGACTCGTCCCCGATGGTGTACTTGGTCGCCGCCGCTGCTGAGGCGCAGCTCACGAGGAGGAGCGCGGCCAAGGCCAGTGACGCGCCACCGGAAGCCATTGCAGCAGCTATCAGGGATCGATCGAACAAGCTAGGACTAGGAGATCAAGGCAGATCCCAAGTGCATGAGATGCAGAGGTGATCCCAAGCCAATGCTCCTTTATATCCATGGCATTCACAGTGTATGTGACAGACAGTACGTGTACGTCGCAGCAGCTGGGAGTTGGTGAGATGGCTTTCGTTGCAGTTGGTTGCGGGTAGGAACAAGTAGGAAGACGCTGACGATGATCTTGGATGCACTTGCACAGACAGACACGAAATGGCTTAGAAATGACTCTACCTGTTTATACCTTTTGGAATGCAAAGCTTTCCGCCGCCTTTTTCAGTTGCGACATCTTTCTCACGGCGGACACGCGTCGGACTCAGACGCCATTCTTGCAACGACGGCGAAGAAAGATTAATGTGACTGTGCTGGTGGCTTGGCATTGTCACCAGACCAGACTCGCCATCTGCTGCTGTTGCTGGCCATGCATGAAAGGATTTCATTTCATTGGTGATTAACAGCATCCAACTCCAAATCTCCAAGGTCGTTTGAGGCCAGATGATTATTTACACAATTAGCAGGAGCGCAGGCCAATCCTTGTACGATGGCATCAAACATTATTTGTGGTCTTACTAGCCCTGCATACTATTTGGTGCTAGTCAGGTCTAAAGAAATGGATGCTAAATTGCTAATTATCTTTTTTTTTCTCGAATACGCAAAAGATTTGTGTATCATTGTAATTAAGAAGAAGAAGAGTTTAACCATACACACGACACGCTTCTAATGAGTGTCTTAGGAGGTCTTACAGTTGTGACTGGACCTTCTAGCAGACTGTTTCAAACTTTGATATAAATTGCTAATTATCTTGGCAGATGGGTACCTGGGCCTGACAACAGTGTCGTGTTTGGTGAGTGGCAGCTTTAATAGTTCATCATCTGCTTGGGTTAAGTTAATGGCAGGCACCTACTCTGTGGACAATGACCTCTCCAAGAGTTCCGATGAGTGGTTGCAAAGTCTTTGAGGCGCATCAATCTCACTAGCTGATCCAGCAGGAACAGGGTGTACTTGCTTGAGACCTCGCAGGCTTGTAGTAATGCTAGATGTGACATGAAAGTTTGCAGGTAAGTGACGTGCAATAAGATCAATTGGACCGTGATCTGAAGGCAATGAGGTGAACATTCGGTGCTTGTGGGTGGGGTTCTTATCCAGGAGTATTTGAGGACCAAGCATGCATGGGACAACAAGCTAACAATAGATGTCGATCTCCGGTTGGTCAGTCACCTAACATGAACGGGGCGAGTAGGGTTGCTCTTGGTTTGGTATACAGGACGTAGGAGCAGTTGGGTTTGTTGCTGGGCTACTTTCCTTCGTCGATGTAGCATGTACTGCTATGAGTCTAGTCTCTTGCAATGAATTTTGCCAAAAGAAATTCCTTCCAGATACTAGGCCTAAATTTAGGGGCCTATGCACGACTCTGGCTTCTTGTGGTCATTATCGTAGTATCATGCCAAACGGTCATTTTAAAAATAACTTTCTGCAAGGAGCCAGAGCCATTTTTGTACTGTGAAACCAGAGTCATGAAAAAAATGACTTTTTCCGGCTACTCACAATCTAAACATAAATTATTATAAAACTACCACTAGAGCCATTTTTGCTAAACGTATTTCAAAATAGTTCCAGCTCTACCAAAAAAACTGCTCCGTAAGAGAATTTGAAACCAGAGGGAGGATTCGGAGCCCTGCCCCTTGGAAGCTAATTGCACTATGGATTGTTGATGCCTAGAAGCCCGCCTTTACACATTTAATGAAGCAAAACTTTCATCGAAGTCATATTTGCCTCCTCTAATTAGAAAATTGGTTTTTTGGCCTTCTTCAAAATTTGAAACCATTCAAAATTTCTCCCTAGACGATTTTAGCCGACATGGCACGCGCCAGGATAGCCATCCTATATGTGGTGCCACCTCAAGTCACGAGGGAAGTAAATCGCATATGAGGTGGTTATGACATATGTGTTGTCACCAAAGTCAATTGAACTCTACATGGTTGGAACCAACATAGATTGATTATATAGATAATGTGAGCATCTGCTAAGAACCTCCTTCTGTCCTAAAATATAAGATATCTTACAAATTTTAGGATAGATTATGACGTAAAACAAATATCGCATGTAACCCTCCATCAAGTGTAGAGATCTTGTTCTTATCACATTTTCAACCTAGAGATAGACACTGATGGTAGGTACATATGTGATTAGTGTTTTAGGAGAGTTGATTCACCTAGAATACCTTATGATTGAGATAATTTTAAATGCTTCAATACCTTATATTTGAGGGTGGAGGGAGTAAACATTAAAAGGAGACATCATAATATAGAGCATATGTAAAGAATTTTTTTGAGCCACAACATTTATTTAAAGAATTTTGTAAGATTAAATATATCTGACTTTAGGATTTATAATTGCATACTCCATCCATCCCCAAATAAATCAATTCATAGAATCCGTGCAAGTCAAACTATCCTAAGTTTGACTAACGTTATAGAAAGAGTAACAACATCTATGATATAAAATGAGCATATTATGAAAATATATTTTATGGTATATCTAATGATACTAATTTGATGTCATAAATCTTGATGGATTTTCTAGAAATTTGGTCAAAGTTTGAAAAGTTTGACTTAAGACTACTCTAGGAATCTATTTATTTAGGAACATATGGAGTATTTTTTACAAAAGAAAATTGTCTATGTTTTTTGAAAAAATATTTTGTATTTTTTTAATAAAGTCTAATTGATCTTCTGGACTATCAACGTAGTCCAATTTACCACCTCATGGCTAATGTAGTGCAACAACTAACGTGGCACAACATTAGCCAAAACCGTTTCAAAACTTTAGGGAGGCAAATCAGAATTTGATAAAAATTGAGTGAGATTAAATAGACTTTTTCTGTCGGTTGTTTGACCGTGTAACTCCTTATAAGAATGTACAATACATGAAGCTTTCATATGTGTGCCTACCCCCGAGTGACAAAATGTTGTCACATAATTGAGCACCGTTATGAAAGTTTTCATACAAGCGCCGACTGCCGAGTGACACATCATTAAGCATCGTTATGAAAGTAACAATGCATCAACTCCCTTTTGTGACTTAGTTGTTCAGTTATGCATATACTTTTCCTTTCACCATATGTATGCATACAAAACCAAAAGTAAACTCTGAAGAGAACCTTGTATCCAAAACATGGGCTTATTAAAAGGACCAATACCTTAGCAGTCTAATCAGATGTAAGTAAACCCCGCGAATTAATATGTGAGGCAATGATGACCCTCTGATGCAGCCTCTTTACCATAAATAGGCCGCATCTATTGTATTGCCAAATGACTCTAAAAAGAGTCAACATATGTTACAAACTACCCCGGAGAAACCATTTCTCAAACATCAACAAGTTGGGGTAGTCCACAAAATGCCTTTTATTCCCAAGAAAGTTGGGGTAGGCCACAACAATGCCTTTTATTCCCAAATCAAGTTGGTCCAGGCTAAAATTCTGTAGCTCCCAAGTCCGGAACCCATGACCTGAATGTCATCTCTGCTCGGCCTTGCAGCGTTAACCAGTAGGCTGTGGCTTCATTTGTAAACCATCTCTCACACACCATGTATTGCATTTGAAGGCACCCACCATACTGAATGAGCTTGATGCTTATTTGATACCCCAACTGTGAAAATAGGTTCCACATCATGTAGTCCTAAGCCACATGTAATACCCTCTGCCAACAACTAGCCAAAAGGGAGTCCAACTTTCATGACCTTAGCCTTTTAATGTCCCTTTCACCACGATCGTAGTTCCATTTCCGGTCTAGGGAGCGGTGCCCTTGCTTGTCAGTGGACAGCTCGCCCTCCTCTGTATTTTCAATCATGTGAGCAGCCTTTAGTGAATCCTCCCTGTGTGCAGGATGGGGCCAGCTTTGCCTTCTCTCCTGCTTGATCTTCTCACCTTCAGCAGCCAACTCCACACCATGTTCCAGCTCCCTCTCGATCAGATGATCATCATCCATGATGTCAACCTTTCTAGGAACATCACCTTTAGATTTCCTCCGCTTCTCCAGGGCTGCTTTCACTTTATCCTTGTCTATCTTCCTCATTGCGTCCATCATTGAGGATGATATTTTGGGGCCATCGTTGCTATTGATAATGCTATCCCTTGCTTCATTCCGAGGTGTCCTCTGGTTTGGGTGTTGCTTCTCAGGATGAGCATGGTCATAGCCATGGTGGCCTGGCACGTTTTGATGGCTCAATTGTCTGGATGCTTGAGGTTCATGGGCAGTTGGAGCTTTTCCAGCAGTACGTTGATTAGAAACACTAGCAGGGCTCCTGTCAGTATCATTTCCTTGCAATGGTGGTGGCGCAACAATATTTTGCTCGTAGAGCTCCAAAATTTGGTTGCTAATCTCTGAAAAAAGAAATACCATAAATACATAGTGTCAGCGTGTCTTCTTGACATCATGAGCATCAAAAGTAATATTAGAAGAATCAAAAGGAAACGAAAATAGCATAAATGAGATATATTGAAGAAAAATAAAGAACCAAAAGAGGCATCGATGGTAGAAACTAGCTATAATAAATCTGAACAAGTGACAAGGTCTAACAAGACAGTTGTACTAAAAAAAATTGCTAGCAAAATTATATCTGGTTCGATACTAGTAGTAGCCATGCAATCCATGTGCATTCCATTATATGATAAAAAAGTCAAGAGATCCCCATGTGTGTACATGCTTCAACCTAACCTAGCTCCACAATCATTTTGAGCACCATATTTGGGTGTCAATCTATGAGATCTCAAGATAGCTAACAAGCAACAACAACAGCTGTAACTAAAGGTGTTGCATAATATAAGCCCTCATGAAAAATGAATACCATCTTAGTGCAGTGCAGGTATGCCCTACTGAATTTCCATTCCGAGACCAACCTTCCAAGTGCCGTGGGGTAACATCAAACCCTTGCCACCAGACCTTCTCACCACCTGATGGAAGCTTGATTTTGAGAAATTTCGCAGCCATGAATATTGCACCGGCCGCAATTTGGTGGGGCTTAAATTGTAGGCAAAGTGAAGTACGGAGCCTGTACACCCCTTTTAAGGCGTCGTAAATAGGTATATTTGAGGATTACTCTTTGTAACAAGAAGAGTAATTTTAGCATACCCATCATTGACAAAGTTCGAGGCAACTTGAACAAGTGCACTTTGAGCAACCTTGAATCTACCTATTGCTTCGACCAAGGGCTTGTACCGATGGTCGATGTTCAATTCAAAACCAAGTGTTACAAGAACAACACGTTCCCCAAGTAAAATAAGTTCCTTCTGTTGTTCATACACTTCCTGAACAAAACAAAGCACAGGCAACCACAGTTACCATCTATGACAAAGTAATTAAGAAATGAAGTTGCATTAAACAGATTGGTCCCATCTTATTGAAAAAACATCATGATTGGTGAGTAGTGGCTTAAGAGGAACTGTTCACTGGTAAAAACTGCCGGCTGAAAAAAAAAAAAGATTACTGATTACCCAAAACTAAATACTCAAGATGAATCATCACAATCAATTCAACTATCTCACCTTCTGCCTAATTCGCTGAAACGCAGCAGGATCCTTTTTGTTGATGATCTCATAGGAAAGGAGTACGACATCCCTTAGAGGTCTGACGGTTTCTTCAACTTTTCCCGCCAAGAACATACAAACTGTTGCAATTGTCTGCATGATATAACAAAGCATACATATTGTAAGTTTAAATTAACAATTGATGGGAAAACATTATCCCTAGCAAGAAGCAAGCACTGTGGCATGAGATTGTACACTACAAAATATAAAAGGATTACTGTCAACCAACTGAATTTTGTTATGCATATGAGGAAACAACTTTCAGCACATGAAAAAGAAACAGGTGCCAGTGCGTTACAACAGGTCTTAAATAGGTGAATATCCTAAAATGATACTACTGTGTGCTGGTAATCTATCCTCCACAGGGTATCATGCAATACGCATATGCACAAAGAGAACAAAAGGGCGTACCCTAGCGCAGAAAGCTCTCGCTCTGTGCGGGGTCTGGGGAAGGGTGTCAGTGGCAAGCCTTACCTTCGCTTGTGCAATGCGAGGAGACCGTGACTCAAACCTGGGACCTTCCGGTCACAGGCGGTAAGACTTTACCACTTGCACCAGGCCCGCCCATAGAAAATCTGCAAAGGTTTAAGTTGTAACCTATACCACCATCACAACTACCAACACCTGTCTTTTATACTAGCAATTAAAGAATAAAAGGTATTACCTACATGTGGGGAAAAACATTGCATCTTCAAAAAACAGGGGTAACAGAAAAGAACACAACAATAACTTACCACATGCTATGGTAGCACAAACTAGCATAGCCTTGTTCGCTTTTCTTATAATCCGTACTTTTTAACTTGTTTTTTCAGCCGGAACAGTGTTTTTCTCTCACAACAAATCAGCCGGAACAATGTTTCGGCTTGTTTTTTCAGCGAAGTGAATGGGGTCCATATAAACAAAGTGATTGACAGGTGAAGCACAATTATTTGAATGATAAGTGCTGAGTATCACTTCACAAATAATACCAAAACGCGATGAAATAAAAATGTTCCACACAAGGTCATGTCATTTTCAGTACGACTTACCTGCCTGTCATTTTTTGCATGAGATTGGCAAAGGAAAAAACGATGACAGAACACTATAGCTGTAGCAATCGTAACTTGAAGCCTAAATTAAAAAAAATGTTTTCAGAAGGGAAAAGTTACATATATAAAGGTACCAATTAGAACAAGAGAGCATATAATCTAAAGAATTCATAAACTACAGCAAACAGGGCAGATGCTACATGATTAAATAAGTACTAGGGTTCAGTATGATTTGCAATAAGTACTAGCAGAAACCAGACAGCTCATTCAATGCAGTGGGAAAACAAATGATTAAATTGCCACTTGAGTAGCTGACTTATCAAAATGTTTGATTGCTTACCACTAGAAAATCATTTTACGTCATACACTCATACATATTTAACTTCTGTGCTCCCTCACTAGGGAATACAAGTAATGGTAAAACGTTTGTGGTAGAATGCAAACTTACACTTGAAGCCTCATCCCAAAGTCCTGCAGAAAAGTGCAGTATGCCTTGCGAAAATAAGACTCCTTCAGATCAATGCCATCTTTCCTTGAAACGGAGTTTTCTTCTATTTCTTTTCTACTAAAATGCCATGAATTACAAAGTTTGCCACCTTCCGCATGTCTTCCATAAGGGATTCTATATGGGCTATTTTCTACAATTCCATGATGTGAAGAGTCACTTGTCTGGAAGTCTTCTTTGTCCGGTTTCATCTTCCTCTCATATGCACATTGGAGCCTCCCCTTTTGCTTTGGATTCTGAGAAGCATGCTGGACTCAGTTCAAACCAAGTTCAATGCAGGGATTTTGAAACTGTTAAAGATGGTCGTGAGGAGCATTCGGCTACTAAAAATTTTCCTGTTGATCCAATAACTTCAGTTGTGCAAGCCAGTCCTGATGTTCTTGCTTCTCACAGACTCAATGGTGCTCATCGTGCTGTATTTTCCTCAGTGGTTCCAGTTCAAACGGTTCTCAAAAGGCTCGAGAGAGATCTTGATATTAATTGCAATGATATTCTGGCTGCCAATTCTCTTCAGCTGAAGCAATATAATGAAGTGCAGCTCCCCCAAGGTGAACGTTATAACTTCACTCCCAACCCTTCAACCAGATTATGCTTTCACTGTTTAAGCCCGGATCATTTAATGGAGTGCCGAAGTGATATCAGGTGCATTTACTGTTTCATTTATGGTCATCGGGCTCGAAATTGCTTTAGAAGAAGAGCCCGCCTTAAGCTCAAGTGGGCCGCTAAGCCCAGCTTGCAACCATCGAGCACTGTGTGCAGTAATGATGGAAACGTTCAACCTCCTCCTATTCATTGGTCTCTAGGACCTAAGGCTGTTAATGCCCCAAGTGCCCCTCTGCCTTCTTGCTGCTCGCAGAAGATCACTCTTCGCATCCCTACTCCGGGGAAGACAAACACAGAGCAACCTAAGCAACCAGAGCATCCTCAGCCTCCACCTCCTCCCACCTATGCAAACAGCGCTCAAGCCATGGCAAACTTTGCCATTGATCCAAGGCGTTTCTTCCCAAGCGTGACGATCCTTGAAGATGGTGGACAACATAGCAATGCCAGGCGCACCGTCTGTGTCTCTGGAGGGATTGTCAAGAGACATGAAGATTATGCCATCGCGGTCACTGAAGCCCAGCTCACCTCGGCGCAACAGCTCCAACTCATGCATCTCACCAGGGACTACATAGAAATTGAGGTACGGAAGAATGTCCTCTACTTCGCACCGCATCCGCATGGTGTGGGAATCTATCAGCTACGCGATCCTTGTCAGCGCGATACACTTGTAGTTACAAGTCCGCATTGGATAGGTGGTCATGAAGTTCGTTTCGTTAAGCATGATGAGACCCCAATGAATGTGCGCAACTCTCCATATACTAGAAAGAGCTGGTTATTGTTGCTGGGCTATCCACTGGATTTTAAGGATCCTTTGATCCTGAAACAAGTTTGCAGTGTCTTTGGGCAGCTCCTGTTCTGGAATTCCAGTGACCATTCTCGAGCACGTGTTCTGGTCGAAGTGATGATTGATAACCCTCTGGAGGTCCCTCGCAGTCTACTGATCAAGCATGGTAAAGAGCTTAATGGCGCGGGTCGGTCTTGGACTGTGTACATCTTTAATTCAGAGTTCACAAATGCTCAGCCCATTGATGAGGAAGAACCACCTGTTCACAATGGCAACCCTCATCCTTTCGAGGAGCCAGTATTTCCTGGGGAAATCAACAACATAGTTGAGATGGCAGATGTGGGGGATACGACCCCCGGTATCCATAAGACAAATCATGGGCCGTACCATCAGAGGTGGCCCAGCCCACAAGAACAAGGCGTGCACGGCACTGGTCGACGTGCACCACAAGATATTGTATAGTACCAAATAGGATACTTTCCTTGTAACCCTACCCCTCTAGAGTATATAAGGAGAGGCAGGGGTCCCCTAGTCGACGTCTATATACATCTCATATTCAATACAATCAACCAAAGACACATGACGTAGGGTATTACGTCGATCAGACGGCCTGAACCTGTCTAAATCGCTGTCTCTGTGCCTTATGTCACCATCTAGTTCCTGATCACGCGCACCTTTGTCGATCAATCTACCTTCATTGGATACCCCTCGGAGGACTGCCGACGATATTCTGTCGACAATTGGTGCGCTAGGTAAGGGGGTGTGCGCTTTATCCTCCTGTGAACTAGATGGCGTACCTCAAGATCAACATGCTTCGCAGCAGCTCAGCTGATACATCCTTGGACAATCACGCTGCATGTCCGAACAGCACGCGTCATGCCTGGCACGCTAGCGGCGGCGTTCGGAGTGCATCACGATGCTGCGCTATGCTGTCCACTGCGGAACTGCATGGCGGCGCTTTGTTGAGATCCCATCGGGCTCACGACGGGCATGTAAGGCTCATAGTACAGACTCCTGGGCCACGGCGCCGGCTCCGCATGACACGACGCCAGATTTCTAGCCAGCACGCAACGGCGCCAGAGTCTACCGTGGAGGAGGCACGATCTACAGTGCCATGCAAGGCTGATTCGCATCTTCGGGTGTATATACACATGCAACGTGCATGGATGGAGGATGCAAGTCCGAATGTGCCTTGATCGCAAGCTAAGTCATGTCTCTTTCATTTTAATTCTACGGAGTATATATGTATACATCTTCAGATATCTCCATGACTATTGCTGACAGGCAAACTGCACACCACGCAGCTCGTCTCATCGGCTCGGGACTAAATAGGCATATTTCACCTTGCGTGGGCACACTTGGTTCATCACAACCGCCACCATGACAACAAGCCGAAGAGCTTCAAACCCGACCAGATAACGTTATACGTCACCGATCAGATATTCTGTCTAAAGCTAAGTCATGCTTTAATATTCTTCTAAATATTTTCCGATCTTCATATATCGCCACGATATTTCTCCGAGCTGTTTTCTCCATGTTTATTCTCCAAATGATTTTCTTTCATGTATACCATCTTAAAGATGACATACAGCTAAGTCTAAGGCGAACCCCTGAACAGTCATGTTGACACTCGGATGTTCCTAGAGACGGCATTGTCTCCGGCTCCTCCCTACACGTGCACGAGCGTCTGGCCTCTGTGTTATGGGTGGTCGGCAGTGGCTCCTTAGCGACGCTTTGTTCTTCCTACACGCACACGGGCTCCGCGCTCCGCGCTCCGCGCTCCGCGCTCCGCGTTATGGTTAACAGGCTAGTTAGGGCTGGAGACTCAGCTACACACTAACTGGTCGGACGGTTTGTATTAAATATAAATGCATCTTCAGAATAACACTAAGTGTTCACACCAACTGATCGCCGAGCTACATATGCTATTTCATCACCATTGCTGATTATTCTCCGGAGTTCATATATTTATTTTTACATCATGTACTACCCGTCCTACATATTTGTATTGCAGGATCATCGTCCAGGTGATCGGACCACCTGGTGCTCGGACTTCTCCACCAATCAACTGGTCGAACCACTAGCTTTATGGACTTTGTCGTCGACCAGTTGATCGGACTGTTCGACGGTCCCTTCTACTCAATGCTCACTTCGCCGCCGACCAGTTGACCGGACTGTT